ATATAGTTCCCCTGTTCGATTCCTGTGATGTGTAGTTTTCCATTAGCACACCTTTATTAAGGTAGAGAACTGAACAGCAATATGATGGATCAAATATTGATATTTCATGGAGAAGTACCTGTTGGAGACCCTGATTTATTCCTTGAACAGTGCAGCCCAGAAGACCCTTTAGCCAAAGCAAGGCTGACATAAATTTGAAACCAGAGTGTAATGTCATCTACAACACAGTAAACAGACGAGCAGCACATAACGAGAAAGAGAATCCTTACATAAAAGCTTGGGCCTCATGTTATTAATTATGAAAAGCAATGTTTGCCTTTATGTCCTAATGTTAGCAAAACATTAAAGAATTTCTTCTTTAATTTTTATCAGCTTCTCAGGGATTTAAGATTGTAATGGAAACACAATATGTAGATTTAAAGAATTATAGTTTTCTGTAAGATGCTTGCCAACAACTGATCCCTAGTCTGGAGGTAAAATTGCTACTTCCACAGGCTCCTTCCTCCAAGTCCCTCCTCTCTTTTCTTTCTTGTATTTCTCCCCCTCATGTCCAAGATCCAATACCAATTAGATACATTACTATTGAACAGTGTCATTTCAGTTGGCAAAACTAAACTTGATAACCTTTATAATATCTTTTATCCCTAAGAAGCTACTTTTCTATGAACATAATATAGAATATACAGTGGGGACAACAGCCCCCTTGTAGAGAGCTCTTCAGCCAAGGAGGACACAGTTTATACCTGAGCATTTCAGAAAGAGTGAAACACACCACCCTCCAGACACACTTAGGCTGCTGGTCAAATAAAGATTCCCTCGCCTGGCAGGCGTGTCTCAGTGGTTGAGCATTAACCTATGAACCAGGAGGTCAGGCTTCGATTCCTGATTCTCTCTTATCACTGATGTTTGCCAAAATGAGAAAACGTTCTGCTTTGACACCATCAAGAAAGTGAAACAATTCACAGAATGGTAGAGAATGTTATAAAGCATATATCTAATAAGGGACATATATTTAGAACATACAAAGAACAGTTATAAGTCAATAATAAAGTAACAAATAGCCCAATTCAAAACTGGATAAGAGATCCGAATAGACATCTCTCCAAAGATGATATAGACATGGCCAATATGCCCATGAAGAGATGCTGAAGATCATTAGCCATTCAGGAAATGCAAATCAAAGCTACAATGAGATACCATTTCACACCCACTCATATGGCTACAATGAAGACAAACAAACAAAAAGATTATCAAAGAGTAGTGTTGGCAAAGAAGTTCAGAACTAAAGTCATAAGAAATCATGTGAAACAAAGAAAAACTTGACCAAGCTACTCTTAAAAAGTTATTAGAATTTTTAAAACTATCTTAATTAGTAACTCCAGTATTAATAGAGTAGTTTACTAAACATACTTTAAAAGAAGATATAGTATGTGAAGGACAGAAGCACAGATGCTATAAAAGTTGTTTGGATTTATACATCCAATAAAAGAGATAAAGTATTAATGAGACAGAGTGACAGAGCTGAATGACAAACCTGTGGTTAGTAAAGATGGACTCACAGAGCGGCCACATCATAGCTAAATCACAACTGATGAGAAAGAAAGAAAAAACAACAGAACTAGGAAACAGACCAAGGTAATTCAATTTAAGAATCATCAGCTTAACAGGGGCCAAATAATTTATGCAAGCAGAGTAGAAACCTTATTTGGGAAGGGAATTGAAGACAATTTTCTGGATGCTGTAGAGTGAACTATGGTGCTGCCATATTAGAGAAATGTGAAACTCCATATATAACAACTGTACTGAAATATCCCTGGGTATCTGTGTATTTTAAGTACAAAACACAGGAATAAAAACTTTGTTTTGTTTTGTTTTGTTGAAAGAAAGAAGAGGAAGACTATAAAGGTGTAATAGGATATTCTATATCTTTGTATAAATTAATCCTTTATCGTTGAAAGTATTATATGTCTTCTTTTTCCCCCCACTGCCTGCCCCCACCCCCCAACTGAGGCCTTCAGCACCCTATTGTCTGAGTCCATGGGTTATGCATATATGCATACAAGATCTCTGTATCTTTATATTGTTGAAATTGCCTTAGATGGATTTATAGACAGAAAATCCTGGATAATATGTGTAGCAGACCCCTCTGAAAAATGTACATGTATCCCTTGGAAGTAAAAGGCAGAACTTGACAAATGACTGGTCCAATGTCCTAATTTTTTCA